GTCTCGTTCTTGGCTTCCATAGACTCTGTTGTCCTTCATTCATAAAAGCCAGCAGCACAACGACAAAATCTCTATATCTCATTCCAATAGCCTTCCATTAAGACGAGGCAATCCCAGGTTCAAACCAAAATTTCTCATTCTGCGCTGACCTATTCATCTTCTCTCTTCTCCCAACCCCCATAGCCATTAGAGTTTGGCAGATAAAATAACATGAACATGCCAGTTTGCTCCAGGTTAGTTTACATCTTACATCTTCAGTTAGCCTTCAGTGTTGCTACTGTTTCTCACAGTAGCTGCTATAAAACTTTTTTTTTCAAGATTTATCCTTACATATTTGAGAATAAACCATAACAAATCTAGGAGAAAGTGATCATGAAACCTCCATGCTCACAACCTCCTGGCAGGAAGGCTGGGACTGTGAGCTCTGGACTCCACGATAGCATATTCCACCAAGGCAGGAGTAACACAGGCATGAGGGCTACTGCATGAGTTTCTAAAAGGAAAGATGATTTAAGAGGGTTGGGAAGCTCTTAAAACTGTAAATCTGATATAATTACAAATCATTCCAACAAAGATGCCAATGTGACTTTTTAATTATCCTGACCAAGAGTCTAGTACTAAATATCAAAAGTATTAAATTTATTGTGATGTATGACAAAAAGCAGTCATCCCTAAAAGCCAGCAAGGGCTCACCAAGAACAGACTACCTTTGGGTTTTTGATAGCACTAAAAGATTGAAATTCATGAAAAAGTGGTAAATGTGATATACAGAGAAGAGAATAAGGCTCAAGTAACAGCTCTCATGACAATTTTAAAAGTAAGATGGAAAATAACTTCCTAACCAGAGGTCTCCAATACTGTAATATTCTTTAAGTTCTCCTTTAATGGAGACACCAAAGTACCTGTGGGACTGACTGCCAGAGCAGCAATGTTTACAGAGAACATGAAGCCAGAAATCAATGGTCTCCTCCTGGACCCTTCTAAATTACTGACATCAGATAGGCAATGTGTGCATTCTATCCAGACTTTTTGTTTAAACATCTGTATCTTTTAACCTGGCACTCTGCATCCGATTTGTATACTTGCTGCATGCTGTATACACCTATCAAGTGTTTATTCTGAAGCCACAGAATCTTGGTTCTCATCATTTTCTGTTCCAAATGCCTCCTGTTTTCTAGCTTAATTTATGTTCTACTTTCCTAGCTGAACTGGCTCAAGACCTCAAGATCATCAACTCCTTTCCATTTATTCACCTGACCAGTCTTGTCCAAAAATATTTTCATCTTAAAGAAGTTCACAGCCAAGTAAATATACTTAAAAGGAACTGCAGTCCACACATGGGAGAGCTACACCAATGGTTACTCTGGAAAGGTATAGGAGTACCCCCAAAAGAAGGCCTACAGGGAAGATGTTCTGAGCAGACAACTGAGTTGAATTTAAAAGTTGAGTATTTCATGGAGCAAACTCTGGAGAGGAGAGTCTCCGCTGGCAAAGAAGTACAGTGTGCAGAGTCTGGAGCTAGGAGCAGTCAGCCAGGGAAGTAGCAAGCACTGAGGCATAAGCAAAGGCAGGTGGGGGCCAGGGCTGCTCTCAGGTAATCCCACCAGCATCTGCCCTCCCACCCAAGTCTGAAGCCTGTAGTTCACAAGATTCTATGATTGTTTTTTCTCCTTTGTGCCCCATTCTAATCAGTTATCGAATCTGGGAGTATTTACCTTCTTAATCTCCTCTGAATCTTTCACTCCTCCTCTTTCTTCCATAGTGGATTCTTCATTTCAGATTCTCCTACCTCCCGTGTCTTCCTGAATTAGCTTATAGAGATTCTGGCTGCTGGTTGTGTCCCTTCCCATCCCCACTGTACTCTCAGTCCAAGAGATCTTTTAGTAAAGATCTTCTGTTTAGTAAAGATCTTCTGACCCTGGATTTCTCCCTTCACATACCTCCTTCACTTCCAGAAAATTATTTCGTTTCTATGGAAGAAGTTACAACATTCTTTTTTGTACTACAGTTGGAGCTCAGAGAGATGGGCCATTCAACTCATCTTCTTTATCCGCGCTCCTGCCTAGGGTGTTGAGTCCCACAGTTCTGCTAATTGGGCAGTGGGTTGAGGGAGCCTGGACCCCACCACTGGGTAAAACTACTGGCCAGGGTAAATACCTGTCTCAAGCTAGATCAATAAGATATTCTACCTCAGGAATTCTGGGCAATAATCTAGACATGAGTATGTAGCCATGGATGTTACTAAGCATATAGATGGCTACTGTGCAGAGATATGCCAAATGACATAGTCCATGACAGAAAGGGATCTCTATCAAGTAGTGCCTGGGCTGGTCAGAGTGGCTGAGAGAGAAGCTGTGATCCTTTGTTGCATGTTAGTTCTCAGTTTCTCATGAGCCCACATCCATTTCCTGCCCTGGGATATAGGAAAGCCATCATAGTAATTCCCTTTTATTTAAATTATAAGAAAGGGATTTCATTTCTTATAATCAAATAATCCCTATGCCATTTAAGTCCTTCTGCATTATAGTTTCTTGGAATAAAGAAAATATAGCTGTTCATCTTTGTGCTTCTCACATAATAAGGCATAGCACATGACATACAGCTGATAAAAACCTGTCGGGAGAACTGAATTTAACTACAGAGAGGTAAATAATTTTAAGATGTAATTAATTAGTAGTAATAACACATACAGAAGATGCACAGTATCATTAAGGACAGAGATGCAGGGGCAGGGAAGAAATTCAGAAGCAAACCATATTAGCTCTACTTGACTTGTAGGCACAGTGTACACTGAAGCTGAACACACACACTCACAGCACCACAAGTACTGCCTGGTCAATGCCAGGCAAAGATGAGGGAAGAAACCTCAGCAGTCAGCACAGCACGTTCAGCACGGAAAACTGTGGTTTAAGTTCCTAAAGATCAGTAACTGACAGCCAGAACAGCACATCAAGGCGACCACCGCCTTGCCCAGCAGCTGCAGCCCTCACCCCTCATGTGACAGCATCATCTGAGAGCTTCTTCATGAAAACCTGCCAGGTTTTATTATTCAAAATATATTTTCTCTATTTCCACAAAGATGTTTTAATTTGCTCTAATCAGTTATTCATGTCCACAAAGATTTTAAAAGGCATATTTCCATAAAACACAACTACAATGTCTTTATATTAAGAAGGTAGAGAAGAAGCACAGTTTTCCATTTGATTATCTTAAAATTTTATTTTGAAAATTACATGACAATACATGATTACCATATTTTAAAAATATTCTTTCTTGGGGCTGGGGTTGTGGCTCAGCGGTAGAGTGCTCACCTAGCATGTGCGAGGCATTGGGTTTGATCCTCAGCACCACATAAAAATAAATAAATAAATAAAGGTTTAAAAAAATAAAATAAAATATTCTTTCTTTGGATCCAACAAAGGTGTTTGTTGCTTCAAAGGCTCAACTCCCTTTTGGTTGTTGTTGCATCTACCCTTTGACCAGGGTGCTGATGAAGCAAGGGTTCAGTTGTATGAGAGAACTTACAGGATCATTAGAGTAATAACAGAAACAGAAACATAAGAACTTCCTGGTTGAAGATTTCCTAACTACACCCTTACAACCTGAACACTAAGGCAGCAGTCCAATCCAGAATGCACAAAGGGCTCAGGCAGAAAGGCAGATAAAGGACAAGGCTGGGTTTCCTGGTGTGATGTGAAAGACTTCCCTTCTCACTGTCAAACAGTGTGGCAGCATAATCAAAGTTAGTATAAAGGTGCCTTAAACTGAGTTCTTTCCTGTGACCAGAGGCCACCATCAGACCTTTTGATTTGATGGTGAGAAACGGGCAAGCCTGTGAAAAGGATTACTTGGGGCTCAAGAGGTTGACATCACTCTTGGATAATGAGTTAAGTTTAAAAATAATGACACTGCAATCGCACCATTTTAGAGCAAAAAAGAAAGTTCAACAGTTCCTAAGAGGCTCTGAGTTCAAGGAAATCACACTGATCTTCACATAACTGAAAAGTGGCTCTGGGGTATTTCTTAACATCAGTATGACTTGGATTACATGGCTAGGCATAAGAAGCTAAGTGCAGAATAAGCCTGGTAAAAGCAGCACACTGTGGCCATCCGTTCAGTGTTGCCTCACATCACCACAGAACATTCCCAGGAGGATCCATTCTGTATAAGTCAGATAACCAACCAGCAAGCTACTATACTGGACTAAGAGTTAAATGTCAGGAAAGACTCTTCTATATTGTATACCTTTCATTGCCGTTTCCTATGAAGCAAAAGTCAGACATCATTCATAATAAAGACCTAAAGATACAACAAAAACAATATTATTTTTCTTTCAAAGTGATTGCTAGTTATAAGAAAATAGTCATAGCACTTGATCAGATAGTGAAGTCTACCAGTTTCTTAAAATAAAAATTAAATGACCATCTCTAAGACTTAAGTTAGGCTGATTTCTGACAGCTTCCACAAAAACATGGCACTCTTCTTCCTGCCTTCAGTAGTAATAATTTAGCTTTTAATGCTAAGGTGAAACCTTTGGCACTAATCAAACTGACTGCAAGATCAACACCAAAAAGTACACCATTCAAACAAGACTTCATATTCATTCTTTAAAGCGAAGAAACTGGGAGGTCTCCTGAATATGCTTGGACTTTGCATATTTTAAAAAAGCATCTGAAAGGAAAGAACTGGCTATTTGATGCAATGAATTTGCTGCAGAACACAAATATGAATAGGATTCATGACACAACAGGAAACTGTAGAGGCTCAGAATGTGCTTATATTTTATGCCAGAAACAAAAACAAAAAGGCTACTGTTTGGTAATTCAAGGAACCTGTTGGCAACTAGTTGAAGTGAAGTAAGGGTAACTTCTGGACTCAGAACCACATACCTTGGCTTTAATAAAGAAACAATAACTAAAATTCATAAAAAGTTAGTATAAAGTGCCTTAAACTGAGTTCTTTCCTGTGACCAGTGGTTTTTCTTGCCAGAGATCACCTACCCCAGCGCAAAATTGCTGTCCTCCTTCCAGTCCACGATGCGGCAGATGAACAATGTGTTGGCATAATCTTTAGGCCGGGTCACAAAGTCCTGGGGACAGTCCTTGAGAGGTACATAAATTCTAGGCACTCGGTGGTCTGAGGGAGAAAACAGGGCATATTTCCTAAACAGCTCACTGTTCTTATCAGCCAACAGTTTGAGGATGCCGGTGGCTGCTCGGGAATGTTTTTTCTCCAAGATGTAAACCACCTGAAAATACCAAAGATAATGTCAGTATTGCTCATCTGTAGAACTGGGTATCAGGTGAAGTCAGGAGGATATTATCTGATCAACTAGCAGAGTCCAGCAGTAAGTAATCAATAAGTTGCAATAATTTAAGCATATACATCCAAGGGAAAAAACTATGCAGTACATCAATAAATTACATCAAAGTGCTTTTATAACTGTAATCTATGTCTTATGAAGAAAAGTGAGACTTCAGAAGATAGGTATAGCTCCAGGTATTTGTTCTGCATTATACTTTTCTCACATTGACATACCAGCATACTCTATGAACAATACATAAATGCTTTAAAAATGTTATTAAATATAAATTACTATTCTTATTAAGTTATAACTTCTTTGCTGAGATTTTCTATTTTCTCAAATGTTTCAAGAGAATTTTCCATTGCTTGCTGAAGCATCTTCATAATGGTCATTGTGAAGCCTGGTCATAACATCAATGGTTTCATGTAGGTATAAGTTATACCTTTTCTCTCTCAAGTTATGATTTTCCTGGTTCTTGGTATGATGATTGGTCTTTGTTTGAATCCTGAACTTTCTGGCTATTGACATTAGGAGATGCTGGTATTATTTAACTCTTTCATGCTAGGCAGTCACAGTATTGAGGTTTATTTAGCATGCAGATCCTGGCCTATTGCTGCGGGCTGAGACTGCAATGACAATTTTGTTTTCAGGGTCTCTGCAGTATTATTTTGCAAAATTTGGTTTACATGGTGCCACTGGGATTCCCACTGGTTCTCTACTGATGCTGCTTGTGAGGAATTAGGGGACTCTCCAGGCCAGGGCACCTGAAAAGTGTGGAATAGAGTACTCTCTAGCCTGCAGGGACAAAGAGGCTTCCCATTTAGGGATTTCCTGTTTGTGGCACAATCTCCTTACTGGCACTACCTGACTATCTGTCCAATGTCTCTGGATGTGAGAGAATAGTCTCCAGTCCCCAAGGACAAAGAGACTTCCCAGATTGCACACCTAATATGGTAGAATTCCCCTTCAAACAGCTTTCATAATTTCCGAGTTGCTCTGGGTGAGGACAAAGGGGCCTTGCCCACCAGGTCGTTTGTTGTGGCAAGATCCTTTTTACTGGTATCCTCATGCTTTCTAGTGCCTCGAGGTGAGAGAGGGGAATCCCTGGCCCATAGGACAAAGAGGCTTCCTGTATCAGGTGCTTCTTGGAGTAGGATCTCCTTTGGTAGAGCCACTCAGATGCCCAATGTCTCTCAGTGGGGAGAGGCCTCTCAGGCCTAAGGGGAAAGGAAAGCCCTTCTCATGATCACTCACTGTTATCAGGGCTCCCAGTCAACTCCTTCACAGATGCTGCTGGCCTTGCCTGGTATCTCTGAGATGGAGGTTTCCTGGACAGACCTGAGTTTATCTGGCCATTGCCAGGCTGAGATTCAGAAACACCTTCTAATGGTAGGACTGTAAAGTCCCTGTCTCTATGTAGTTTCTTTAGACCGGAGGTCCCTAACAAGTGTTCCTTCTTCTTTTACCCTTTCAAGTTCCCTTGGGGTTTCCTGCCCCCACCCCCAAAACCAGGGTTTATAGATGTCCTTAGTGGGAGGAGCAAAAAGATCAAGCCATGCTATCTTGTCTGACCCAGAAGTCCTTGCATCCTGGTTTAATTTCTGATAGCACAGAAATGCAGAAAGCAGCTTGAACCTGTGGTTCATATGAAGTTAGCTTTAGGCAGAGCATAAGCTTGGCATATAAGTGCTGCTTACCTTGTAATTTTATTTTATTTGATATTTTTTACTTTTTAAATTTTTTTTGTACTAGAAATCAAACCCAAGGGTGCTCTACCACTGATCTACATGCCCAGTCCATTTGAAATTCTGAGACAAGAGTCTTGCTAAATTGCTGAGGCTGGCCTCAAACTGGTGATTTTCCTGCCTCAGCGTCCTAAGTCCCTGGGATTATAGACGTGTGCCACCTGCCCTGCCTTGTAATTTTAGATTGAATTCATTAAAAAAAAATGTTATCCAAGAGGGAGAGAAAGAAAAGGGGAGAGGATGGGAAGAAGGGGTGGGCACAATTGGAGGGCAGTAGCAAATCACAGAATACAAGTTCTATGGATGGAGGGTTGCTCTATTCAGCTCTTACCATAGTCATTTAGAAATGTGGCCCAGTATAGCCAGATGTTTGTTTGAAAAAGAAGCTAGAAGCATGATTTTTTTATGGAAACACTTTCTGTATGTTTGTTTAACGTAAGTTATGAAGTCAAACTTTTAAAACTCTGCACAGGTAAAATGAAACAGGTGTAGGAGCCAGATGCAGCCCCTAGCCACCCAGTCATTATAATCTTCCACACCTAGCACATTGCCTGGAACATGGTTAGTCCTCGAAATGCCTATTGAAATAAAGATCTGGATAACTGAATGGCAGTGGGAGTAACATACGTAAACTTGAAATTGTTCAGGTCAATATGTAGGCGAGATTCTCCTAACCAGCTGGCTGGCGAGTGGCACACTGCATTCCCAGGTCAGGCACACTGACAAGATACCTCTGGTACATGAAGTCTCACACTATGATGCCACTCAATTCTTTGCCCTTGCGTCACTTTGCCTTCTGCCACCATGAGTTATCTGCATAGCCAGAGTCGGCTGTATTTGATCCTACATCTGAGGATGCTACTAACATACATAAGCTTTTAATAAAATTGTGCAAAAAAATGAAACAGGAATGTAAAAAAATAATTATGTGATAACTAAATTGAATACTTTGAAAAAACTAAAAAGGAATTATTAAAATTCATTTTTTGAATTAGCTATGACAATTTAAAAAATTGAAGCAAAAACTAAAATCTAAAAGGAGTTGATTTTCCTATTACTTCTCCCAGTATCTTAAATTCTCAGTTCACTTTATTCATTCATTCACTTATTGCTCGTAGTGCTAGGAATGGAACCCAGAGGAGCTCAACCAGCCGTTTTCATTTTTTATTTTGAGACAGGGGTTTGCTGAGCCGCCTAGGCTAGAAGTGAACTTGCGATCCTCCTATCTCAGTCTCCTGAGTCCGTGGGATTACAGTGTGTGCCACTGTGCCTGGCTTTGCTCCACTTTCAATAACCCAAACTGGAAGTCATAAATGCCTGATTGTACATGGGTTATAAACAAGAAAGAATACAAAACTCCAAACATACTTAAAGAAAAGGCCTTGGCCCTTTATACAAAGATAGGGAAGTGAATACACATTTACTTGTTTAAAGTTACAAGACCCATTCCTAATTTCCTGAGTCTACTAACTTTTCTGATTAACTGACTAACTATAGTCCTAACTGAATCCCACGAGACTGACAAGTAGCTCAGGTGATAACCATTGGAAGAGTGGAAAAAATCTGCAATCAATGACCTTAGCTGATTTCTGCAGGGACTTCTCTGATAAAGCTTTTGTGTCTTGTGACATGGAGGTGCTCTCATCTTTTGTAACTGGTGCATTAGCATCCTCTTTTCCTAAATTAGAAAGACAAAGAAAAAGAAGAGCAGGGATCAATTAGATGAATATCCATTAGGCATACCAACTTTGAAGATTTGAAAACTCAGACTGGGAAAGATTTCTGGATACCAAGTACCCCACATCACTCACTCACAGTGGTTGGATGACTTGACTATGGCCAATCATGTCACATATCTGTATCAATGCTCACTTTGAGCACCTGGCTCAGCAGGCCACATTTGCTCTACTTTATATCATTCGCATGCTAAACACCATACTAGCAGAGAACATCTAATATGCTGAATTAAACTAAATCACCTGTGTATCAAAATGCAAAAAAAAAAAAAGATATTAAGTACTGTCCAGCCCACAATGAAGAATAGAGATAGGTTAATTTATTAAAGCACATCTGCTGAAACAGTACAAAATCAAAATAAATGTTAACTTTTAAAAGAACTTTGGTACCAGCCATAACAAACAAAATGGTGGAAAATTTATTATATTTATTAAATAAATAAATAAAAAGCCCAACCCTGATTTTCCTGGCATTTCTTAGTGACATTATATAAAGAGTAAAGCACTTAAAGTCTTTTATGTTTAATTTCCTTTCTTAAAAAACTTATAAAATGCACATTCACCCAAGAAACTAAAACCACATCTCCTGAGAAAGAGGCAATTAGGCTCCATACCAGAAGTATTAAAAATACACATGAATAAAAACAGCAAATTACACACCTTTTGAACATTTAAAATTTTTGTATTTTCATTTATTACGTTAGATTCCTCCCCACTAAAAATTACCCTCTATCCAAGTATATTGGAATCGCAGGTTCTAGGGATCACAACCAAATTCATGTGGGACCCACTTCAGAGAGACTCATACTTATCATCATTTAGACATAACCAAGGCCAAAATAAATAAATAAATTCTTTTCAGGACTGGCTGCCTCTAGCAAAGGCTCAGCTGAAGGCCAACTTTTACCGTTCTGGGCATGCTCTGGAAACACTGACATGATCTGACCTACTAAGCTAAAGAATGATCAACTGTGTGCTTTTCCATATATAAAATCTAAATACTGATGAGCCCACTAAAAGCAGAATCTTCATTATCTTTTGAAAAGAAAATGCAAACACAAACTTTTCTACTATCGATGAGTTATCCATCAGTAAAAGAGGGATAGTCATCCAAGTTCATCTTTTAATTTAGGCCATAGTCTAGAATTTCAAAATCATAAGATGCTTTCAGAACAACATTTTTTTTTTTATAATCTTGGGGCAAAAACAAAACAATACAAGCTGTGGATCTGTTTGTTCCATAATATACCTTGCAGTGCTCTGTAGAAAATAAGGTAACTTAGGAAAGAACAGGAAGATAAAATTAAGAGTACATGCTACTTAGAAATCTGACATGTAAGCTTTTGGTCTCAAAAGCTGTGGAAATGCGTTCAGGGTAGGGAGAGAACTGGTTTTTCCAGGACAGCCCAAACCCAAGGCTAGTAGCTTTCTAGTATGGTCACTGATGGTTCCATCTTAAAATGACTATTAGTTCAGATTCCACCCCAATACAACAGTGACTCTTCTGTTCCAAAGGTTATACGAGGTTAGATCCAAAGAGAGAGGGCGACCCATGGCAGTGGGCCCAAGCATGATTTCCAGATATCACACCTGAACATGACCTCTATAGGTTCTGTATTCATAAGGTTATCCTGGAAAAAATAAGGCTTTGTTCATAGTTACATCCTAATAAATTAAACCAAAGTTTATAGCCTTGCAGGTGAGAATCATAGATATTACGGTCAATGAACATAAAGAAATACAATGCCAAGTTGGAAAGGTGAATCACCTTAATATGTTTCCAACTACTACTATTTCTTGCCACACTGAAGAGCAAAGTTGTCAGTTTAATGAGAGAATCAAATGCATTACTGAATCACAAGATCATGTATTTATTCATTTATTCCATGTATACTTATTGAGCACAGGGCATTGAGGATTCAGTTGTAAGATATAGATCCCGGCCCTTAGGGAACATACAGGCTAATGTGGAAATGATGTTATATAAATAATCACTCAATAAATATAAAATTACAGATTGTGATGAAGGATAAGAAGGAAAGAATAGTCCTATGGAGGAAGGGAAAAGGATGTGAGATTTAGGTTAGCGATCATGGAAAGGCTTGTGTAGAAGTAACGTTTAAGCCGAGAAAAGAAGATGGTGTATATAGAGTAATAGGGGGTCAAAAGACCCCAAGGCAGGGAATGGCAGGAAGGTGGTAAAAACAGAAAGTTCTTTGCACAGTCAAGGACTATAAATAGGACTGGGAAGGTGGAGCACAATTAGCAAGAATAGGCAGTGCAAGACATGAGAATGAGAGGGAGACAGGAGTCAAGGCAGGTGGGCACTATAGGAGATAAGAACCTCGAGCTAAGCCTATGTTAAATGGGAAGCTGACTTTTGTGCAAGAATAGCATGACCAAGGCAAGATTAGAGCAAGCTATGAGTGGATGTGAGGAGATCAGTGAAGAATTACTCCAGGAGTCCAGGCATTGAAGGACAGAGCTGTGATGCAGACTCTGGAGGCAGAATTAAGACATATTTTGCAATTGAGCTGATATACTGGTGGGTATTTAATATAAGAGTCTAAGGGCTATTAGACATGAGAAGTGAAGAACTGTTTCCAGTTTTCTGACATCTGCAGCTAGGCTGAGGGAGGCATGAATAAGGAAAGTCTAGAGAACAAAGTAAAATCAAGAGTTCTGTTTCAAAAGTAGTTATATATATACCTTGGGATGATGTTGAATAAGCAGTTCAATATGAAAGTGTGGAACTCAAAAGTGAGGCCTGGGCTGTGGCTTTATATACAATTTCTATGCTGTGCACCCCAGAGATTCAAACCAGATCTGTTCAACTGTTAGGTCCACAAAGCTTTGCCACTGTTCCACACTGGTATATGCACAAGTACAGAGCACTGTGCTGCCACTGCTGAGCAAGTAAGAAACATTCCCTGAAGAAGTGGCCTGGGGCTTGAAGGATGTATAAACATGTTTCAAAGAGAAACAAGGATGTTGAAGGGCACCCAAGACAAAGGCCAGAACTTTCAAGAGGCCCAGTTCTGTGAGACAGCTGATGCAGTAAAGGTCTAAGAAGAGATATATTGTAGACACCAACAGGCTGTAGACACCAAGCTGGCTAGAAAAGGCTTGAGATGCATAAGGGGAGGAACAAGGCTGGGCAAGAGGTCGGATGGGCCATAGAGCTGAGGCTTATGTCACTGCCACATTAGGTAGTCTCTTCAATTTTCAGTGGGACAGCCCAGCTAAAAGACCACATCCTTTAGCCTTCTTGCTGGGGCATGTCCAAGTTTTAATCAGAAAGATGCAGTGGAAAGTGTTGTAGGTGACTTCTGAGAAGTATCTTTAGAGGGCACAGACCCAGTCTTCTCTTTCCTCCTCTCTGCCGGCTGGTAAGAAGATGTGTTAGCTGGACCTCCCTTGAGCACTCATCTTGGTCCTGGCTATAGGACAAAGGTGTTTCTACCCTGCAGAGCAGCATAAAAGAATGAACTGAAGATGTGGAGCCACCCTACATGTGCCAGCCTGCCTGTCTCTGGTCTTCTTTTGTGTGAGAGAGAAACAAACTTCTTTCTTATTTAAGCCATTGGTATTTTAGGATTTAAAGCTATTCTCAGCAAAACATAATTTCTAACATACAGGTTCAGACATAGAGATTGACAAGCTCAGACACTATCCCATAAAGCTAAAAGCCAAAGAAGTATCCTCTTAAAGAGTTATACACCAAAAGGAACTAAGGGATGGGAGGCGGAGAGGTTAGGGGCAAGTGCTGGGAAGTGATACTGGCTAAATTATATTGTTATACTGTGTGCATGTATGGATATGTAACAACAAATCCTCCCATTATGCACAACTATAACACAACAATTAAAAATGTAGAAAAAATTTTTAAAGAGTTATACACCACATTTATGTGTTAAGGCCCTGAATTTGGAAGCATTCAGAGTGAAAAAAACAACAGAAGCAGAGATCTTGGACAGCTATGGTTACAGCCTAGGGAAGACACAATCAGAAACTGAATCAAAGATAGAAAGAGACACCATAATGCTAAGTGAAATATGTCAGACTCAGAAAGTCAAAGGTAAAATGTTTTCTTTGATATGCAGAAGCTAGTTCAAAATCAGGAGAAAAAGGGAGAGGAATTCCATCAAAATAGAAGAAAGATCAGTGGAGTAGAGGAAGGGGACTGAGGTGAAGACAGGAGGGACAGGACAGGGGAAGACAGTGGAATGAGTCTGACTTAACTTTCCTATGTACATACATGAATATTCCACAGTAAATCTCACCATATGTATATCCCCGCCAAGGCACTAATTTAAAAAAACTATAAATAGCAGAAAGATCAGTAGAGAAGAGGGAAGGGAACAGGAGAGGGAGGAGGGAGAAAAAGGGGAAGTACTGGGGACTGAATTAGGGAAAATTATTTTCTGTGCTTTTATGTCAGAATTAATCCTAATGATGTATATAACTGAATCAGGAGAGTGGCAGTGACAGTGAACAGGGGTGAGACTTGACAGCACTTTCTGAGAAGGATGCTGATTAGCATCTTCATCACTGTGAACTGTCCAGAGTGAGAAAACGGGCTTCAATGGAAAGAGCTTCTGATGGACTCTCAAGAATAAAGCTTTGACAGAACAACAAGACACCAATGAACTGTAAGAACAAGGCCAAGCTGCCAGTGGTCCTCAACAAGGGGGAGAAAAGATGTGTCCCCACAGCCTTCGGTTTTGCTGTATTAAAGTAAGAGCTATCAGGCTGGGACTGTGGCTCAATGGTAGAACACTCACCTAGCACGGGTGCGGCCCTGGTTCAATCCTCAGCATCACAAAAAATAAATGAATGGAATAAAGGTATTTGTTTAACTACAACTAAAAAAATAAATATTAAAAAAAGAGTTATAAATCTCTGTAGCCCCATATAGTTCATATAATTCTATAATCTAGTA